AAACTTATGCGTTTTTTGTGGTCTTCGAGATTTGTTAGCGAATCTACAGAATTTGAGTGAGAAAGCTTTTTTGGAAATTAAGTTAAGCAGCTTAGGCAGCTGACCTTTTGAAAGGCTAGGAAAAACTTTCAAAAGGTCAGGCTGCCTAAGCTTTAGCAGCCCTATGCCTCACTACCCCTAAACTTGCCTTCTAAATCCAGAGATCGCTCCATTTCTGGTATGATAATTCTCTCGTTGAGTCTTTCAGAAATATTTAGGTACCATTTTATAGAGCTGGCTGCAACTACTAAGACCTACAGTATGAAGCGACTAAGCAATCCCTTATTCCCACTGTAAAATTAAGTTAGAAACTTTTACCACATAGCGCCACTGTGAAATTGGCTGTGCGAGAGAAAATTCCAAAAAAAATCTTTAAGCTGTGTAACAATGTTTTCAAGCATACCGGTTTCATTACACAACTTTTTATTAGCTTTAGGAGCTTTTCAAGTGGTGTAACAAATTTTCGAGGAGCACTGAAAACGGTCATTACCGTATATCCAGCATAACTTGTGAAAGAAGAATTAGGCTGAAGCACTCGTTTCGTATTTGGGCTCAGCGAATCTCATTAGCCTAGTGTGAGAGTTTTCGGCTCATTTGATTTCTTTTTACAGAAATACTTAACGAATCAAAACCTTTTTCAAAGTTCCTACCGTAATTTTACAGTAAGAGTAAGCGAGTGGCTTGCTCTGCAATGTAAATCTATCAAGGGAAGCATGCTTAGTCGAAGTGGCCTTTCCAGATGAGATTCGTACTGCTTTGAAGAGCATTAAGCGGTGATTCTAAACCTGCCTTCCAAATCTGCCAAGCGCCCCTGGACGCCGAGTTATGCGCGTTTTCCAGGTCAAAAAATGAACACAAAACTGGGACAAAATTGCCCAAATTTGCTCAAATGATCCAGTGTCAAGTATTAGAGCCGTTCAACGGATATGTTTTGTCTACTATGCTAACGCTTAACATGCTTTATCCGAGCGTTGGAATGATTGTAGCAATCAATTTTACCTAAATCCTGCATTCATTTTTCGTTCCAAAGAACGGTCATAACTCGGCGCCCAGAGGAGCTTGGCAGATTTGGAAGACAGATTTGGACTCACCGTGCGATACTCCTCAAAGCAGCATGGGTCTCATCTGAAAAGGCCACTTCAACTAGATACGCTTCCCTTGTAAGTTGAAGCTAGGTTTTAAAGCTTTTTGAAAGGCTTCAAAGAAAGTCAATAACAATTAAACAGTAGGCATATTTATTGGGACACCCTATACCTGGGGCGAAGCTTGTGCCGCAGGTTTTATATTGTCGATCCATATCGATTTCGTCAATTTTTTCCTTTTTTTTGCAAAGCTTGAGCTACGGGGCTGGGAGGTGGCAGAGTGGGATAAGTGAGCATGCAAATTACGAATACGTTTTGATTTTCAAAAACTTGATCACTTTCATCGATTTTAGGCAAAGTTTGAGGTACGGGGCCGGGAGATAGCACGGGGGGGGAGTGAGCCTGCATATTGCGAATGCAATACAGGGTGTTCCAAAAGTAAGTACACACTTTTCAACCGTCACTATCGCTCTTCCCATTGTGTCTTTTTCTACCGTTTAAGTACTAATCTGCAGAGGAGGCTTCAACTTAGATTACCAGCACCGAGCGAATCACCGATCGCTCTTTATTACTGTAAGATTACTGTAGGAACTTCGACAAGGATTTTAGACCATTGGGAGCCATATTTTGCCTCAGAACAAAATCAAACAAGCCACAAACTTTTATACTATGGTAACGGAAGCCGCTGATTTCGAATATGAAATTTCCACTTTGCTGTGACGCTTTTTTTTTCAAAGTTATCCTAAGTAAGCTGTAAACTGAATTCCCAGCATGTGTCAAAAATGTGGTTACCCGTCAAAAAAGCCGAAACACTCGTAGAAAGTTGTGTAGTGAATCAGCATGGACGAAAACCCTTGTACACGATTTCTCCGATTTTTTGAAAAAAATTTTGTCAAATGGCATATTTCACAAGAATCCACATGCTAGCAGATCTTACCGTAATCCTACAGTAACGAAGAGCGATCGGTGACTCGGTCGAAACTGCAAATTTAAGTTGAAGCCTCCTTTACAGAATGGTACTTGACTGGCAGAAAAAGACCCATTAGGAAGAGAGATATTGACGATTGAAAAGTGTGTACTTACTTTTGGGACACTCTGTATTAGTTTCTAGAATTTCGATCTTTTTTTTTGCAAAATTGCAAGTCACGGGACTGCGATACAGGGGGACAATTGAGCACGCTTATCTTATATATAAAGCTGAAAGTCTGTTTGTCTGTATGTCTGTATGTCTGTATGTCTGTCTGTATGTGTGTACGTGTGTTCCGAATAGAAAATTCCATTTCTGAACCGATCCGGACCAAATTTGGCACACATACACTTCGGGCCCCGGCGGGTGTCATAGGCTACTTTACGTCATCGATCGATTCGATTTTATCGATTTTTTGCAAAATTTGAGCTACGGGGCTGGGAGTTGGCACAGGGGGGTAATCGAGCATGCTGATTACGAATATAATAATGACAGGGCCGGGCGGAGCCGGGTAAGTCAACTAGTAATGAATATGATAACCGTTTGTGAAACTGCCCATTATATCGATTTCACCGATGTTCTGTAAACTTTAAGTTACGTGCTAGGATATAGAGGTACAAGAGGAGATGTGAGCTTGTTGATTACGAGAACATAGCGGAGACAGAACGGCAGAGTGATAGGAGCAGAGTAGTTGGTACAGAACTAAGACATGGGCACTATCATAGTGCAGTATTGAATGAGCCGGCGGAGCCGGGTATGTCAGCTACAAAAGAGTTCGCCGTCCTTCAAGGCCGTTTGAGAATGCAATTCTATTTTCGCATGCGCTGCCTACAGCGTCGCATGGCTCGCTCTGAAAATTCTGCGAGCTCTCATCAACGCTATGAGTACCCTATTTTCAGGTGTATAAGCCGCACCCTTTTCACTCTAAACGCGAACACGCCAAAAGACTGACTGTCATCATGGAGCGCGTTAAGTGAGAGCAGTATGCGATAAGGCGACCGCTTCGCGAGACATATGCGCGGCGGCACGCCTGGGTCTGCTCGCGTTTAGAGCAAAAAGGGTGCGGCTTATACACCTGAAAATAGGGTAGTTCCTTCTTTGAGAATTTGATTCAAGACAAAATATCTCGAAGAAAATTTTTGCTGGCTCTCGTCTTGTGTGCAGCTGCCAGTTGTGTTTTTAGAAAAAAACAGTCAGGACCGCATTTCTTACGAAAGTTGTATCGCAATCTCGTTTACGTCAAATGAGATGCATTCTTCGAGTGCAATTTTTAAATTAGTTTCAAATGTTTTTGAACTTTCATATCGTTATTTAAGAGATTTCCACAAGCCCGCGGCCTTGGCGCTAGCATCGCCTCCGATGTGACCAATGAGAAGGAAAGAAAGAATTCGGCAAGCGAGCGAGATTATGTACTATGTGGAGGAGGTCGTTTTGAAAAGTAACTAGCAGTAGCTCAATTGAAAGACAGTTCAACCAGCCTATCGAATTCAGAGCAAAATTGCTGTGAACTACTATGTTAAATTCAGCAAATTGGTTGTGTAGGTTCAGAAGGCAGGCCGACGCGCATGGTCAGCCCGTGGCGGTAGCAACGATGAGAGGGATTTTGCACACAACTGACACAGATAATTAAAATGTGATTTTCAACAGAAAAGAAAGGGTTTTAAGTGCAGCGAATCTGATATGATGAACGTTGTGGGAGCAGAACTCTTTGTACTAATCACAGAAATGGATAGCTCGATAGTACATAAACTAAATAGACCAAAGAACTACATCTGCTCAAAGAAGACATGTTCTTGCCGTAGCTACTTGGGTGCAAACCTTTGGCAAACACGCTATTGAGGAATGGGTAGCGCCAAACGCACTCTACTTCTTACAAGATAAGGAAGGTTGGTCGAAGTGGTCTTTTGAAATGAAATGGGTACTGCCGTGTAGAGCTTGGAACGCTGATTCCAAATCTGCCTATCTGCTGCAGGCTTTTGGGCGAGGAGTTACGAAGGTTTTTGTGAGTAAAAATCTGAATGCAAGACAAGGTTAAAATCAGTCGCAACATTTTTTAGGGATTAATTGGTAGTTAGGTCACTCTTAGTGCAACAAATAATCTTGATTTAAATGTACCAACTCGCTGCTACGTCATTTAAACGTTGAGAAAAGGTTACGACTGATTTTACCCAACTTTTGCATTCAGATTTTTACTCACAAAAGCCTCCATAACCCCTCGCCCAGGAGCCCGCAGCAGATAGCAAAGGTAGATTTGGAACCAACGTTCCAAGCTCTACAAAACTGTGTACATCTCATCTCAAAAGGCCACTTCGACCAACCTTCCTTCCCTTGTTAGTCAAAGAGGCTTCTGAACGCTTGCGAATCTTTTACAGTGACTTGCCGGGCCAACGGACTACCAGATCAGTGCTTTTATCCTTCTAGATTATTCCAATACCAATTTACCGTTCCCGGAGAGTAGAAGGCTTGGCTAAGGGGCGGGGTCAATCTTGGGTTCGATCTGAAGCGGCGTCTCATAACACTAAGCCACTTTCATGCAGAGGACTATAGTCGCCAAGATGAGGAGTAAGCGTGGACAACTGCAACAATTATGCACATTGTATGAGGAGCGTATCGATTGCTGCTGTCCACGCCGGATTCTCCATTTCGGAGATATAGTCCTCTATCCAGGCATCGTCATACTTCACGCGACCCAGTGAATGCGCGATTTGGCGTTGCAACTTTAGTTCACAATCTAAGCGCATTTTGTTGAGGCAAGAATGGGCACGTTTGCCTCAATTTACAGAAAATGTGTGCCTATGCACTTGAAATTGCTTTTGCTAAATCGCTAAATCGCGAGTAGCTTCCTCGACAACATGCTGCACTGCTTGAGTTTTGGGCGTGCAGCTGAAGTTTGCAACATTAAATCAACTTACAGCATCACCTTTCCGAGGTGGTGACATAGAGATGCGAAAGCGTGGGGCTCGTTGTTGAAACGGCTGAAGTTACAAACTTTTCGAACAGTCGCCATGCATATAATATAGGCCGTACACGCTGCGCCGGAGAGCAACGCTGTTGCGTCCATTCGAGGCTTTCATGACTGGAGGAGGTGCGGAGAAAATAGACAGCGAGAGTGGACGGAAGAGGAGTGACGCGCAATACACAGCTTGCGCACTCTCCGCGCCCTACGCGGACGGCCTTTACATCATCTTGCGTTACTCAACACAAACGGAAATTGCTTAAAGTCCACTTACCCGTCTTGCAAATATTTGTTGGGTTAATGACAGTCTGAAATTTAGAGGTTTTCAAAGTTTCCACTAGTGCAGTCTATGCGGCATACCTGCTAGGAATAAGGTGAGCTCTTTCATCGTCGGTCCCTTCATCAGCTGAGAGCATTTCAGTCATTACAGGAGACATCATTGCTGACGTGTAACTAAAGTCATAAACTCAGCTTTCGATAACATTAAATTGCGTTACTTGCCTGCTGTGTAGGTTAGCATTGTTCCAAAGCATATCGGTGTATGAAGCCGAGTCGCTAAGTGAGCCGTCTGCGGAAGGTGGACGAGTGTTGTCATAATTGGGAGTGAAGCCGTGAATCGCGCTAAATATCTATAATAAAGCTGAATGTCTACTGTCTTTCCGTCTGTTTGTACGTATGATCGAGTATAAAATTCCGTTTCTGAACCGATCAGGACCAATTTTGAAATATACTTCAGAATCAAATTTATCGATCGATTCTTTGCAAACTATGAGCCATAGTGCTGCGAGTTGGCATGGTGGGAGGTTGGGGGAGAGTAAGTGAGCACGCTGATAGCGAATATAATAATCGTTTGTAAGAACAATGCCCCCACGATTTTATCGATTTTTTGCAAAGTTTGAACTGCAGGGCTTGGAGTTGACATGATGGGGAAGGGGATGGGGAGAGGAATGAGCACGCTAATAAGGAAATAATAATCGTTTGTAGAGGTATCCATTCCTTCTATAAATTTTATCGATTTTTTGCAAAGCTTGGGGTATGGAGCTAAGAATAAGTGAACATGCTGATTACGACCAAAGCATTAGCTTATGGAATCCAACCACGTTTATCGATTTCTTCGTGTTTCTTCGTGTTTTTTTTTGCAAAGTTTGGGCTACAGGACCTGAAGTTGGCATCGTGAATGACGAATATAACATCAATTTGGGGAAATACTTATCCTAAATATAAAACTGAATGTCTTTTTATATATACCCTATTTTCCGGCTTATAAGCCGCACGTTATATGCTGCACCGCCGCGCGAACAGTGGTGCGAAAGGACCTTCAAAAAAAATTCTAGCACAGTGAAAACTCAGTACGTTTTTGTGAGTCCTTTTCAGCGCAGATAATCATGTCTTTTCGATGCGTATTCTAATGTCGTGTTGGTATCGCAGGAGAAAGTTACAGCTTCAAACTGAAAGCATTGGATTATGCTGCCGAGACTGAGACCGGGCAGGATTTTTACATTTGTGTCGATCGGATGATTCAAAGATGGCGAAGTGATCAGGAGAAGCACAGAGAATGCGATAGTACCGTTAGATCGTCCAGAAGACTTAAACCAGATGGCCAGCATAAGAAGAAGAGTTGAGGGGTGTATTATCAGGCAGCGAGAGGAAGGAAGAAGAGCTGCAGCCGTGATTGAATGAAAAAGTAGAAGTTCTTGTTACAAACAAGTCACAATCAAGAAGAAACCAAGAAAGAACGAAAGCAGAAAGTTAGTGATAGACTACTAGATGAAATAGCTAGTAGTTGGCTGCTGGTGCGGCTTCGCGCATTGCGAAAGACACCGCAATTCAGTCCGCTCGCGCTGAAAACAAATGCGGCTTATACGCCGGAAAGTTGTGTGTGTGTGTGTGTGTGTGTGTGTGTGTGTGTGTGTGTGTGTGTGTGTGTGTGTGTGTGTGTGTGTGTGTGTGTGTGTGTGTGTGTGTGTGTGTGTGTGTGTGTGTGTGTGTGTGTGTGTGTGTGTGTGTGTGTGTGTGTGTGTGTGTGTGTGTGTGTGTGTGTGTGTGTGTGTGTGTGTGTGTGTGTGTGTGTGTGTGTGTGTGTGTGTGTGTGTGTGTGTGTGTGTGTGTGTGTGTGTGTGTGTGTGTGTGTGTGTGTGTGTGTGTGTGTGTGTGTGTGTGTGTGTGTGTGTGTGTGTGTGTGTGTGTGTGTGTGTGTGTGTGTGTGTGTGTGTGTGTGTGTGTGTGTGTGTGTGTGTGTGTGTGTGTGTGTGTGTGTGTGTGTGTGTGTGTGTGTGTGTGTGTGTGTGTGTGTGTGTGTGTGTGTGTGTGTGTGTGTGTGTGTGTGTGTGTGTGTGTGTGTGTGTGTGTGTGTGTGTGTGTGTGTGTGTGTGTGTGTGTGTGTGTGTGTGTGTGTGTGTGTGTGTGTGTGTGTGTGTGTGTGTGTGTGTGTGTGTGTGCCCGTTACGAAATTCGAGGAGCGTGTTCCGCTCCTCGAATTTTAATTTCTAAAACCGACGGACCAAACTTTGCTCAAATACACTTCGGCGCGGGCGAGTGTCATAGGCTACTCGTCATCGATCGATTCAATTTCATCGATTTTTTGTAAAGCTTGAGCTACGGGGCTGGGAGTTGGCACAGGGGAGGGGCAATCGAGCACGCCGATTACGAACACGATGTTAGTTTTTGGAGTTATCTGTTACTTTTATCAGATTGTCAAGAAAATAATGTCGTTTTATATTTGCTTGCTTTGAGCAAACAGACTCAACCCAACAAAGGCCAAGGGATACTATTCGATAGAACATTCATAATATTGCGTCAAGTTCGGTCCACGGAAAGTTTGAACTCAAAATCTAAACATTTAAATGCCTAAAAAATCGAAAAAAACCAGATCTCCGTCCAAATAATTTCTACGAACCTCCCACTTACATAAGTCAATACTTTCGATCAGACACCCATATGTGCAGTTGCTGTGTTTTTTCCTTGACTAGAAACAGAGAAAACGAAAGTTTTCATGATTTTCTCAAAGCAACGACTCAGACAATAGCCGGGGGCAGGCGGGCACCGGAAAAATAGATTGCTGATCTCTCGCACCCCGCTCGCGGATTTTTTGGAAAGCAATCAGGACATTTCGGAAGACCGCTTGCTGAGTTCTCGATTCCTCAGAGATTCAGCAATATATCTGCAAAAGATAAGAGCGAAAAAAATTCAACAGGCGGTCTTTCAAAAATCCGCTGACTCAGCAAGCGGTCTTCCGAAAATTCCTGATTGCTTTGCAAAAAATCCGCGAGCGGGGTGCGAGAAATCAGCAATCTATTTTTCCGGTGCCCGCCTGCCCCCAGCGATTGTCTGAGGATGAGCCGTTCTTGCATATGTAGTTATATACTACAAGCCTATTTGAGTATAACTGTGAATTTTCAGGCCATTCCGAGCGCTAGCTTTCGAGAAATATTGGATTCAGCCCCCTTCTTTTCAGTTTCGGTGCTAAATCGACAATTCTCGAAAACTACCGCTCGGAATAGGCTGAGAATCTACAGTTACGTTAACTTAGGCTTGTAGTATAGAATTAGATGTGCAAGAACGGCTCAGCATTGCTTTGAGAACATCATGAAAATTTTCGTCTTCTCAGTTTCTAATCAGGGAAAAAATACAGCAACTGCACATATGGGTGTCTGATATCGAAAGTACTGAAGTGTGTGAGTGGGAGGTCCGTAGGAATTATTTGGACGGAGATCTGGTTTTTTTCGATTTTTTGGGCATTTGGTGATCTTTAGATTTCGAGTTAGAAGTTTACGTGGATCGAACTCGGCGCACTTTTATGAACGCCCTCTTGTAGAGCTTGCTTTGCTCTAACGAAAGGTATCCCTTTGTTGGGTTGAGCCTGTTTGCTTTGTTAAAGCAAGCAATAAAAAACGACATTATTTTCTTGACAACCTAATATTGATTTTATCAATTTTTTGCAAAGCTGGAGCTGGGAGTTGGCACAGTGGAGGTAACTGAGCATGCAGATTATTAACACAGCGGGATAGGAAACTGGCATGTAGAAGTGAGCACAGGGAAGGGTTGTCGGGATAAGGATGGGAGCTTTATTACTATGCCACGCCTATCATAGTTAGCATTCTACCAAAGCACCCACTTGTGCTATTCGACTGTTCAACTCTAACACCTAATGTGATCTGCATAACAGAGAGGCGCTGTATCGCCTCAGACCACAATAAGGCCCACGAACCGCCGATACATTTGGTGCATCGGCCAGATACGACCGACCGATAAAGTGCTTCGCTTTCAAAAGCAGCACTCAAAGAACCATCGACAATGAGGATCTTGCCCTTCCTCAAGGAACATTTATGAACTTCTGCCAAGGAGCTCGCTGAATTTTCGCGGAAAAACGCTTGCCAAAGTAAGAAAGAAATTCTTTCAGATTGTAATCAAGAGCGCCAAGAATCATGCACTCTATATCTGGATATCTTAACAAAATGCACAATGGAGTCAGATATAGCACTGAATTGCTACAAATGGACTACGAGATATTGATGGAAAGGATCGAAGAAGCTATATCCGAAGCTAAGAAGAAGTCAGTGGCGGAGGAATGGAAGCGCACGAAAAAGATATAAGATTTTTCACAGCTATGAATGACGCTAAGAACTTCCTCTACATTCTGCAAGATCGCTTGATAGATGTTAGGATGGAGTTAGCACAACTGGATCACCAAAGAAGGCTCCCTAGCGCAAGGCTTAGGATGGATGTATCGAATTTCCCCAAATATCAACCAGATGGCTGAAAAATCCATTTTGGATTGCCCATGGATAAATCATGTGGTTTTCATTTAGAAATTGAGAAAAAACGCACAAAGTCATGTTTGAAGAAGAATTCACTGGACTGGAACGAAACGAGATGAAATGCAATATCAACAATGATCAATATCGCTTAGAGCAAAAGTCCTTCCCCGCTGCTGATACTCTTTTGCTGAGGGCAGGTCATGACACCACCGCGCCACGAGCAAAGCTTGCGACAGCTGGTTTTGAAGGTGCAGACACATTAGCGGTACGATCAAATCCGGCTATCATACAATGTGAAGGAAATGAAAAGCTCTCCTCGTATTCTGATTACTTCGTAATCCGTTACTTGTTATTATACACAGCTGCTGTTTTATTGTCTACAGCTTTTCGCCATCGCTTCCGGTCAAGAGTTCTGGACACCCACACCACCTATGCGACGAATTAACTTACCAAATCCCGCTAGTAAATCCAGACAAAAGGAAGCAGTGCTATGGTGTAGATTACTTGATTCGCTTAGGATTGTTCTTTGCTTTTCCTGTTGAATGGCCAGCCGGAGTGTGCCGTTATATCGCCACCTTCTTTGTTGTTTGATTACTGCTGCAAAAGTACCGTAAAGGTCGTGCCACATGCATGACCTGCTGGGATATGAGTATGTTTATTGACCAGACGCTCATTGACAAACCATGCCACGCCCATCATAGTTAGCATTCTATCACAGCAACCACGTGTGCCAGTCGACTTTCATAAAGCTCTATCAGTTAATGTGTTCTATATAACACATTCTCAAAGGCGTTATATCGCCTAAGGCCGCAATAAGGCCCAACAACCGCCGATACACACAGTGCAAAAACACTATATTAAGCG